CTCGCGTTACAAATGATCGGGTCTGTCCCAGAGGAGCGATTCGGATCAGCGAACGTAGGACACGCTCTGTGTCCTATTCGCTCGCGTCCCGTCGAGCATTCCCTCGAGTGAGCCGTAAAAGCGTATCGGTGCAACGCAAATAAAACCGTATCGTATCCTGTATGGCTCACCGGGTATATGGCGGAGCAGCTTAAGTGATTGCTTCTCTTCATTAGAGCTTCGGGCTCGCCTCTCTTCCTCTCGCGAAGTCGAAGTTGAGGGACAGGTGTGGTAATGGCCCGTATCCGAGCTCTCGCTTAACCCACCCCCTACGACCGTCAGTCGATTTAGCCCTCCTCCTACCCTCGTGAGCCATCCTCTACCCCCCTCGAAACTATTACGCGAATTGATTCCACATCGGATCTGCCTGGAGGGGCGGAAACTCGCGTTTAGCTCCTCGTTTCCTCCACTTTTTCGCTCTTTCTCTTTCTACTTTATCGCTCTTCTCTTTTCTTATCGCCGGCGCGTGACCACCCTCGGTCCATTTGCGTGCATCTCACCCTGTCGTAAAGGCGCGAATTGCATTCCCCGGATTATCGGCTTCCATCAGGGCTTGAACGACGCTCGTAGTATCGGTAAGGATACGTAGCTGGTCGTACGCAAATCGATTAATTCAATAGGAATGGTGAAGTTCTTAGCGTGTAAGTGGATGATAGGTCTTTTGATCATTTTGCAAAATGATTGGAAAGAATTAGGATTATTTAACGTAACGAGAAATAAAACAGGGAATTTATTGATTATTGAATAAATTTGAAACGCAAGCGAGACTGATTATCACACAATGTCACTATAAAGCTGGATCTTCCAAATTACGTTTTTAATCTGTATGATATTCTTCGAATAAAAGTTTCACTGTATAGACAGTACAATTTCTTTAAAAAGAAATGTAAACAGCATCTTGATGTGCAATCAGTTGTTACGCGTTCTATTTAACTCAACATGTTTTGTTAGAGAAGAAGGAACAACTGGCATCGATTGAACTGGTAATTCCTCTCGCGAGATAAACAGCATCTAGCAGCCTACGATATCGCGATTTATAAGGTAGATGGTCGATATATACGCCGCCACGCGAGTCGCATTAAATAATAATGCCAGTGATTGCTGTTGGGTACCCGCCGAGGCAAACTGCAAGCTACAAGAACGGTAAGGAGGGTGCGGCGAGGGGTAGAACGACGGCGGAACGGAGAAGACGTTGCCTTTACATCCCCGCCAGATATATCATCGCCTGGCAGTTATGTGTGTCATGAATTTTAGATTATCCTTGGATTAGATTAAGGCACGCGGGGGTCGGAAGAGCAAGCAGCCCCTTGGCCCGCCAGTCAGTGCGCGGGGCTGAATTATTTCCAAATCTCGCGCAACATCCGTCCCGCCCATCCCCTCGATCACGCCGTCGGAATTGCAGGATTGATCTGTTGCCGCGAATTTTTCACCGATGGCCAAGCGTTAATCAATTTTCCTGCTGATACTTTTCGAGCTAAATAATAAAATAATTTAATATTAAAAAAATACGTAATGAAATACTGTTTGAAGAAAATTTTAATCAGGGTTGTTAAAAGTTACTTTTTCGTTACTCTGCCTAAAAGTTACTTTTTATAGTAAAAAAACAATTAACAATGCAATTTTTTATGATGGTAACGCTAACAAATTAATCGTTAGGGTTATGCTAAGGTTGAAAAAATTACTTAAAAAGATAACTTATCATTATTTACTAAAAAACTAAAAGTAATGAAATAGTAACTTCAAAATTTCGTTACTCGTTACTGGAAATTATAACTTAATTATCGTTATTGTTACTCACTAGGAAAGGTAATTACATACAATAAAAAAGTAACGGAAAAAGTAACGGAAACTTCATTCCTTTTTTATGTAACTTATACAATCATGATTTTAATCGTGAAGAATATTTGTTATAAGAAAGAGGTAATCATTCATGTTTTAAGTAAATGAATTACCATATTGAAAGTTTTTGAATTCAAAAAGGAGCATTAAAAATTGCCTAATTTTGATTTTTGAGAAATTTTTTTAGATCATCTTTACTACTTACTTTTTTAAATAATACTATTGTTGTTAATAATTTTTACGTTTCCGATTTTGTGCAATAATCTCAAGAAATCTCGACGAGTTGGCCCCGCGTTTCTCGATTATTTCCCGTTTCATCCCTTTTGAGGGGACGAGAGGGCGGACATAATTGATGATGGTAGCTGGTTTTCGCGGGACATTATATCGCAGTTACGAGTTTTCGTCCCCCACTCGCGCGCTACGAATGCGCAATGTGCGAACAACAGGATCTCGCTATATAGTGGAGAGAATACCCTGGGGGTGATTCCCACCCCTTGCTGGCCCCACGTGACCCCGGCCAGACAAACGACGGCCAATTTACGAGCAATAGGAAAAACTTCTTAAAACTCGGATTAAAATGAACGAAGGGAGAAGAGAGAGGAGCATCCCTCGGCGCCCTCCGAATTATTTCAGGGAGAGTTTTATTTTATTTCGGAAAGCGTCACCGGAGGGGGAAGGGCGAATACAGTCCTTGGCCCTGGCCTTGTACTTTTATTATTATGACCCTGTCTGTAAACGAGGTGGAGCGTCATTATTTTATCGTTATGCAAATGTAATTGCTGCAAATTATTCTTACTATTTTCATTTGTTGTTATAATGGCAATGTCAGTGATCATTGATGATAATAATAATAACTCGATTAGATTCTTCTCTATATTGCTCCGCATAAAGTACTTGAAAACCTAAAAAATTAAATATATTTGAATAAGAAAAATTATTAAAATTATAAATCTTCTAATATAAAATGTTTTCGATATAATATTTATATAGTTAAAACTTAACTAAAATCAGATATGATACGCGTCTTTTCTAACATGATGAGGATTTTTGCTTGTTTTACTAACAGGAAAAAAAGGATACATTTTCGTTACAGGGACAGAGCAATAGATGACAATTTAATATATCGTTAAATTAATTACACAAGCTCAATTGGTATGTTTATCGATTATGATCTTTATATATATATGTATAAACAAATTCCTAGGAAAGTAACTCGTTATACTTGTAATGAAGTTATAGTTACAAGTTACTTTTTTTTTTATAACTGTAACGGTATCGTAGTTAGATCTTTTTGGTAACGAATTTTACAGTTACTTTTACCGTTACTTTGCACTTTGCGATTGGACACAAGCCACTCATAATGCTTGAGATTAGAAAGCCTTTAGGCATCCATCTGTAATTGGTGATCGTTGATTTTAAAAAAGTAAGAGAAAAATAATGAAAAGCTTTCTCGAATAACGAGTTACTTTTAAAAATCATAATTACTAACGGTAACTTGTGATTTTTTTCTACTAACGAGTAACTGTAACTTGTGACTTTTAAAAAGTAACTTTCCATTCCCTGCAAATCGATTTCACTCTTCAATAGCGAGATAATTTATAATACAAGTGACATCAGTCTCATACATTTCTTCCTCTTATTATACAGAATGTCTCTGAATATATCAATTTTAATATATGTATGCACGTAATGAGTTATATTTTAAATCGCTTTATAATTGAATTAATTTCTAATCCAATAAAAATCTGTTATATATTAGAAAGTTTACATCGTAAAAAATCCATGTTAGTTTATGAGACCGTAAGTCATTATTACAGAATCAATCTTGCGGTCGTAAAGCGACCAAATTATGGCTTTTCTTTTTTTATATACAATGCCTATAAAAAGTTCAACATATATGGGTCGTATACATCGAAGCGGTTGCTGTACGTCGGCGTTCTTTTTAATTAAAGTCACTAATCAAATCACGACCACGCGACGTTGCTTCGATCTATCGACACATGCGGATAGGACGATAACGACGCCCCGGGGATGGCCGGAATAAATCCGTGTTAACGCGATTACAACCCTCCTCCGAGATGCATGACTGATTTATCCACGAAAATGCACTGGAAGACGTTTCATCGCGATTTGATATAGTGAATAAGCTTCAGTGAATAACCAATGTGTTCCCGATATGGTAAACACTAATATATCTCTCATATGACGGCAATAATATCGAGAATTCCCTTTTACTTTAGCGTATTTGGACTCGAGACGATATCGTAAAAATCTCTTATATTTTCTCACTAATGAATAGATGAGAAACCAGACTCGCGTACCCGCGATTTACGTGGAGATAAGTCGGACGAATTACCGGACTCGAGGAACGTGCGACTTTCGGAGCACCTCATCCTCCTTTCCGAAGGCAAGGGGTTCCGGGACTATAACGGCGCCCCGGGGACGACCGGGGTAACGCGATTACGCGGCGCGGCACTGGCACGGCACAGCTACCGTTCGAGCGGTTCGCCCGGCTTGATTTATCCGCGTAGCCGCGCGTTATTGCATTAGCGCCCCGACGGCGATGCTGTCCGCCGTCCCCCGTTCGCTCGCTGGCGACGAACGCGAGAAATCGTCCGGCGTCCGTCCACCCGCCCGTGAATCATCTACGAAAGTTATGTCTTACAAGCCGCTGCCAGGACGCGGCGATCTATAATTCCCACCCGCGGTTGGTCAGCGATCCTGGCGCGTCCTGGAGTTTCCCGTATTCCCTTGCGAAGTAATATCGCTGGTAAGAAATGTTGTGACCGAAATCTACTCTTGGAAAACGACGTACAGTTCCTTTTACATGGATGGTCAGTAATCTTGGCACTTTCTGAATTTCATCGTAGATTATCCTCAGAAATTGCTTTTGCAACGTATAATAAATCTATTCTTAGAGATGACGTAAAAATCTTTTTATTCTGCTGATGAGTAATCTCGACACGTCTTGTTTTCTTGAATTTCCTTATCGATAACATTCGTATTTGATAACAAAATGTATTTTAGAAAATATTCTACGATTTTTTTTTATATAATGTTATCAAAGAACTGAACATACCTTGACATTTTTTGAATTCCTACGTTCACAAATATAACATTTCGACAAACGTTCCGTTTAAACATGTCTTCACATGCATGAGCATACACAAAGCTACGATGACTTCCGCTCCGAACGAATGCCCGCTAACTTGAGATGAAAACTGGTTCAAGAATTGGTGACGAAACTTTACAATGTGTCGCCTTCTTAATCGTTGCTGATTAAACTTCACGTTTTACATCACAGTTCTTCGACACAGAATACGCTAATCGAGATACAAGCGAGACTCCCGATTCTGTATACATTATATATATTACACGTTTCCCGTCGTCCTTCCGCAATTTACTTTATACACATTGAGTGTCCTTTGTACTTCTCAGACTCTTCGGCACGTCGCGGATGAAGAGATGCACGTGTTTCGCTTTTATATTCTATACGCAAGCAAGTTTCTGCACAAAACAACGACACGTGCAACCTGTAATTTTAATCGTGTACAAATAACTGTAATGTTTTTACTCTCAAAATAATGTAAAAAAAAAAAAATTAAAATTTCTTAAATTTGAATTAAAGTTTTCATTTAGAAAAAATATAGGTCTAAATTTTATAGAATTTTAACGATAATGATTGAATACTTTGTCATAAGATATAATGTACCTTTCCTATGGTATCGAAAATTGAAATCACCAAGATCATGTCGGTCTACTATCAATCTTTCTATCGCATTGCTCTAAGTTACATTTCGATGAAAATACAGATCTTCTTCGAACCTGAATATACTTACCGTCAACTCGCACTTCTTCATCCCCGTCGAGTCCCTCTTCGTCCAAGACGTACCACACCGCGAACCTTACGCAGGCCTATCGAGCCCTAAGGCCTCCTGGTGCCGTCTCGCTTTCAGCCTAAGGTCTGCGATGCTACTGTTCTTCGAGCGAGCCGCCGCAGCGGCCAACGACGCTGCCAGGCTCAACGGATGAGGAGGATGACCAGCCGACGGTGCCGGAGGTGGCGGTGGCGGTGGTGGTGGCAGACAGAAAAGGCCCCCGGCTGCCGCGTAGTGCAGCACCGCTGGATCAAAAGCTGATCCTACTGTGACATTTGTAGTTCCCTGCATCGGCGGCGGATGTAACCTGAGGGCTGGCAGGTAAGGTGCAACTCGACACGGCTCCAACGTCGTCGGTGGGCTGCGCGGTGCCAGCACCATACTCCCGGCGACGCCTGTAAAAAAATGTAATTAGAACTACCAGTCGAATATTAATCCTAGAATACTGTCACTAGAATAATATAGCTTCCCCTACTTAATTCCAGGATTACCCTTTCCTTCAGTTTTTCGACGAAAATTGTTTATAAATTGTACTGTCATGATCTGAGTTTAACATACAGTCTCTGATATTCTTTTTGTTAACACAAGTTCATCACATGATAGGATCACTCATAAAAATTATTGCACATAGGTAAGATATTATGGTGTTTTCTTAATTGTTCTCTGAATCATTAATTTTACTATATTCATTTCATTAGAATCTGGAAATTATATGTGAATAATCAAAGAGGACTAACAATAGACAATAACTAATCTGACTGAATTTTAATAATAGACAATTTAACAAGATTATATATACGATATAATATCTGATCTTCTCTTTGAAGATTTAACTCAGCAAAGATAACTTGTTATGTATTGTACATTATCATTTCGAAAAATTTGTCTTACAATTTATAACTCGGTATTTTAAAACTATGTTATTCTGCGATATTGTATTATATGCATAATTCCGAATTAGTAATTTTTTTTAATACTGAAGATGACCTAATTTAAGATCGAAACATTTATTTTTCCAATTGAATGATTAAAATATAAAAATTTTCGTTACGAACATCTTGCGTTGTGGTTTATGGCGTTAAGAGATTTACTATTGCTATTGATGTAGTATTGCTATTGACATTGGGTTATATAAATTATGTAAAACTAACGAAGTTATCTTTTTCATTATTTTTTTTTTACGTAATTATCTTTCCTAATGAGTAATTGTAATTAAATTTCTAACAAATAACAAAATTTGAAAGGTACTGTTTCATTTATTTATTACTCATTATTTTAGTTTTTTCAGTGAGTAATTCAAACGCGTAATAATGATAACAAGTTACTTTTCAAAATGACTTTTCTTTAATACAACCGTAGTTGTTAGTTAGCGTTACTGTGAAAAATTGCAACGTCAAATTGTTCATTATAAAAAATAATGATATAATAACGAGAAAATAACTTTTAACAATCTTGGCTGTTGATATATAAATTTTACAAAAAAATAGACTACTTTTAATTAATGTAATACAAGTTTTTATTATATATACTTCACACTTTTAATGATAAAATATTTCTGATCTAGACTTTTACAAATAAAAAAGTCTATTATTATTTCTAACTTAAAGGCAAAGAAAAAAATAAGCACATTATATATCTAGGAAGAATTAAGCGTGTTATATCCACTGTAGAGTTCCGTTTGCGACAGCATATTACCTTTGTGTAACTGGCTCTCGTGTTTACGACACTTAGCACGTCGATTTTGGAACCAGACTTGTACTCGCGCTTCACTGAGACCGAGCCGCTGGCTCAGCTCCTCCCTCATAAACGCGTCCGGATAATGCGTCTCATCGAAAAGCCTCTCAAGCTCAGCCAATTGCTCAATGGTGAAGTTCGTCCGTGATCTCCTCTGCTTGCCATTGCCGCTTCCGTTGCTCCGACAGCTGGATCCTACAAATTAATTATTGCTCGAGCAAATAAAAAAGCGTTAGGCAAATACATTAAAAGATAACTATATGTTTCTCGAATATATATTTGTTCTATTATAATAAGTATATATAATAAATTATTATAACGCGGTGAAAAGATGAGTTTTCTGTCACTGTTAAGGAGGTCTTCGCTCTAATTCTTAATCAATAGGCAGTTTATTCATAATAATATGTAAAATAATAAAAATCATGGAACAAAAAGATTACTAGTAATGTCTTATGCCATTATACATAATTATTGTTAATTTTATATGTTGCTAAATATTTTCAAAATGACAAAATAAAAGTTGTAAGATGCTCATTTGATGTATACGCATCGTTCATTTGACATATATTCTTAGCTTTTTTCATTGAAGGATATAAATTTCTTGTAAACTGTATGGTCAGTTTAAATGAAACTTTACGAGAACAAACACTTAAGTGTTTACTTTATAATTATAACGATTTTTAAATTACTGTCTTATACGCAAGTGTCTCAATTTAAAAGAGAATAACTACAGGATAAGATTACATCTTGAACTTAATGTAAAATTCGATAAATTTAGAATTAAATATCTTCAAAATAATACGGAAATCGTCAATGAAATTTTTTCTAGATATTATTGATATTATTAACTTTTGTATTACATGTATATTATAGACTTGTTTTATATTTCATCAAACGCGAAAACCTCCTTAAAGAATGCTTTCGACAAAACAGAAACTTGAATGCTGTGAGTCATCACCGAAGATGTGCAGCGAGTAACAGGGAAGTTTTCGTCGCGCGATGATTAATTCACAGGGACAAATGCGAGCCGCGAACCAGAACGACCAAGCCAGACCGATGCTATTGAATTGATCTTCGTGAATCGTTCACGGGCCATTTCTTCCAGTCTGAGTGCCATCAACATATATTTCGCCACCTTATGAGAATCTTATTCAAATCGAGATACCGACATCTCTAATTAGATGACATTAGACAAGTATATCTCGCTTGAGTGGGAAAACCCTCAACAGTTATACCCTCTCAACATATCGAGGAACTGTAAAAATAAGTATAATCCAGTCTGCATAACTCAGTGTGTATCGATGTGTATAACCGCTATGTTAAGCTTGTGCACAGATTGCGGGATCGCATCGAGGACGCATCTTCACGCGGAAGATTCCATCGGACAGATGCAGAAAGGCGAGGGAGGAGGGTGATTAAGGTGAGATGGTACGAGTTTACCCTCCCTCGTCTAGTGGAGAGAGTAGGGATGACTAACGACCCGGTATAAGACTGCGTAGCTCACCACTTTGCTAAATTATATAAATCACATCCCCTTCGTCAAGGGCTCTTACGCGAGACACTTAATCCACCTCTGTCCCTCTCACTCTTCCTCGTCATGAGCCCCTTTCGAGTTTCCGCGCCTCCTTCTCGTCGGCAACACCTCGAAAAGCCGTAGTACCGTAGTTACTTTACATTAAGCGACCATTAATTAAATCGTATAGCCGTTAATTATCCGAGCGTCTCTCTAACTCGCGGCGATGCTTGTGGCCGCTCTATACGATGCGCCAAGAAAGTTTTTCGCTTCGGAGCATCTTTTCGTTCATCCTTCAAGATAATTATCTCTTTCTTTTTTTTTTCATGACATTTACACTTTTATAATATTAACGATTTTCACAAAATTGAGAATTATAAGCTGAACCAAATTATTGTATCAAAATTTAATTTATTAATAATAAAAATAAAATTAACAAAACAAGAGAAGCAGAAATGATCTGTAAATTCCTTTCAGAATAGTAATCGTATTTTTTAATAAGATTACTATTCTGTAGTTTTTAATCATTTATATATTGGATTGGAAAAAAAGTTTTTTTGTATTTTTTAATTCAAAATATATACATAATATCTTTATCAAAGATGAACGAAATTTAAATTTAAAGAAAGAGTTTTAAAGCTTGAAATCTCTATTTTCGGAAGGTTACTGGGTATATTTTTTAAGTTTCTGTGAGTTTGATAATTTTTACATTTAAAAAACTACGAGCTGAAAAAGATGAAAAATTTTCTTTTTACTTTGGGGATCTCTCACATGTCCAATAAAAATTTACGAAGATTTTTAATAACTTATCATGAAAGCTTGAAGCTTTCCCTACAAAATCATTTTTTTTTTAATGTTCCTATGATTTTTTTGTTCCTGAGTTATTCGCGAATTAAGTAAAAGAGCATTCTGACTTCGATTGCCTATAACTCCAATAAAATTCATCATACTGCAATTTAAAAAATAGATTCTTAAAGCTAAAACTTCTTGCTTCTCTTGTTCCGTTAATTTTATTTTTATTATTAATAAATTAAATTTTGATACAATAATTTGATTCAGCTTATAATTTCTCAATTTTGTAGCGAGTGATATAATTGTACCGAAAATTTCGCAACAAATGAAAAATTTTTGCAACAAAATGTTTAAAAATACGAAGAAACTTTTTCTCTGGCTTAATATTACATTAATCATACCTACAGGTTAAGAATTCAGATTATTAATAATCTTTTTCAGATTATTAATAATAATCTAACTTTTTTTCCCTCATTAGCGAAAGAAATTCAAATATAATAATTTATTATTAGCGAAAGAAATTCAAATATAATAAATTACTATATTTGAATTTCTTTTGCTAATGAGGGAAAATGTATGAAACGCAAATGAGAGTCGAGGAGCCAGTAAATTGCGTTTTTATCGTGGAATATTCTGCGGTGTCGCTTTCCACTGGGTAATAGAACGACCGTGCGATTTATCCGGAAACGGAGGCAAAAAACGAGACCCGCTATCTGCAGTCTACGTGCGTTTGCACGCCGGCGCGATCGCCATGCGGCATTGCGTACGGCGTACGGCGCTTTAATCAATTAGCGCATATCCGCGTAATCCAATCTGAGCCCTAGGCAGGGTGTGCAGCCCGCATCCATATGTACAGCGGTGGTTTAAAACCACCTCCCTCCTGCTCGCCAAAATAACTCGCGCGGTTTTCGACGCCCCTCGTCCGCGCATTGTTAGCATAACCCACGGCGCAACACATACGCGCGTTGTCGCAGTCATTAACTCGAACGTGCCAGCCGTTTATTCCCGTATGTACCGTAGATACCAGGGGGCGAGAATCGGCATCGTTTCGAATTTACAGTTAGCCTTCTCGTTTTTCATAAGCACTTACTTTCTGAAAAGAGAACAATGAATTGTGTGTCACAATAATTACTCTTATAATTTTGTTTATTATCTATTTGTTGTAATTTAATAAATTATGCAATTCTCGCAAGTCTTTCTGCGTTTACTATTAAATATTAGAGGAAAGTCCTCTATTATGAGATAGACGCCTAATATAAGATGGTGGTGTTTCTGCTAAACTAATAAACGTTATCTATTAGTTCCACCATGAATTTATTGCTCTTGAATTGAAAACTATTTAGTAGAAAATTCATTATTGAATCATGCCTGTTTATTTCCATATGTATCGTAGATATTGGGGGAAGAATCGGCATCGTTTCGAATTTACTTAGTTTATTTAGTTTTTAGTTTTAGTCGAATTTACTTAGTTTATTTATTTAGTTAGCTTTCTCATTTTTCATAAGCACTTTCTGAAAAGAGAACAATGAATTGTGTGTCACAATAATTACTCTTATAATTTGTTTATTATCTATTTGTTGTAATTTAATAAATTATGCAATTCTCGCAAGTCTTTTTGCGTTTACTATCAAATATTAGAGGAAAGTCCTCTATTAGATAGACGCCTAATATGAGATAGTGGTGTTTCTGCTAAACTAATAAACGTTATCTATTGGTTCCATCATGAATTTATTACTCTTGGATTGAAAACTATTTAGTAGAAGATTCATTATTGAATCATGCCTAGTCATTGTAAAAAAGATTTTAGAATTTGGATGTCTTCAAGTTTCATTGAGATGAGCCTTTAAATCTTGTTTATTATTTAATTAAATAAATATTTGGTAATAAATTCTTCATGTAGTGATAGAGTAAGGTCATACTAATAGAAAAATACGGGATATGTTGAATTGTTTAATTACAGAAATTAGATTTGATAATCGTAAAATCACAAGGCGTAGAAATTGTAATATGAAATATCCAGAGTATTGCTAATATGAAATAATCCATGCTCCTATGTTATAGTGAAAATTATTGCTAAAGAGTAAATGTTATTGTATATATAAAAATAATAATAATAAGGATAATCGAAATGAACGTCGAGTGCCTATTTCTATGATTTGATTCCAACTATCTGAAAACGAGTATAATCTATCGCGTACTCATTTTTCACGCACGCTGGCTGTGTTTGTTTGCATTTTAGAAACATGAAATAAAGTTTTTTAATTACAATACTGATATACTTTGTGTTTTATTATCGATTTCTCGGGGCATCTCATATTAGAAGCACAATTTTTTGACTTGCTCACTTTTTATGTTTCTTTAATTTAAAAAAAAAATGGAATTTGAATTAAATTTTATATAATGTTATCTTAAAGCTTATTAAATTCCCTTCAAAATAATCTATTATTTTCTTAAATTTTGCCTATAGACTTCTAGCATTTATCCAAAATGAACTCGGTATCTCATAATAGCCTTTCCTCTAAATATCATTCACGCGAATGAAATAAGTTTGTTAAAATATTTTAGAGACAACTTTTTCCTTCTAATAAAATTAAATAAAGAAAAAATGAGATAGGCGCAAGATTGAAACTGATCATTGTCAAGATCGCGAGACAATTGAAATTCTGAGATTCCATATTATTTTCCAAGTCCTAACACGTTTCTCTAAATCCCTTTGGCAAAACTACCTGAGTGTATCCCAAATGTCTCGATCCGAGGTGCAAAATCGTAGTTGCTGAACGTTATTCGATACTAGAGATCGAGACGGCGAGAGGGATTCTGCGGAACGAATGGGAGAGCAGATAACCGAACCCTGCTACTGGAAAACCCAAAGCAATCACACTTGGACGCGAGGGGTCACTAATTCAATTACTAAGAGCGCTGCCCTCTTGGCCTGATCCAGTTAAGCCACCCCCGAAGAGCTACCCCCGGACCGACCACCTTAGCTATACTATTTTTCTCCCTCCAAAACGAGTCGAGATATCACGGCCATTAGACGTATAAAAGCGTCGTCGTATCCCACACAGTCGCTACATATGGCACACGATCCCATAAATACGCAAGAAGCACAAGGGGAGCTTAAGACATGCAATCACTTATTGCTTAATGAAGCAAAGTGCCGGTTGTATCCTCCTACAGTAGACTACTTAGACGTTTAACCCTTTGTCGCACAATTCTTTCCGAATCTCAGAATAATCACGGACACCATTTCATTGTCTAAAAAGAAAAAAGATATTTTTTCTTTTTAACGGTTTTATCTAGACTTCATTAAACTTAAATATGTAACCACAGCTGAGAGCACGTGCATCGTTTTTCCAAATAAGTGTCTTTATTTTGATACTTTCATCATTTTAATGCATGAATATTTGTCGAAAGCTACAATTTATCATTTTTGTATCGCGATTTATCGCTAGTTCAGCGAGAAGTTCGAACGTAAATATGAAGGGAGCTCTTTTTCTTTCTCATTTTTCCTAAAGTAGCGGCTGTACACCCTCCGCTATCATACTTTAGGAAACTCGCGCCCCAAGTACCATAAATATACGTACGAGTGCACGGGCCTTTGACCAGCGGTCAAGCACCAACACTTACAGCAATCGTGGAAAAACACGCGCGACTGAAGACCGATGGGTGTGCACGCCACGCTAAATCGTCAGAAGAAGCGAAATGTACTTTGGAGTATCGTATCACTGGAAGTGCTCGTTTTTGAAAAGCTGCAAGGCTGATGGTATCATTTATAGGACTTGAGAAAGTATCCATGAAGCCTTCACATTAACTAGAAATAATTCCATTAGTATTAGAAAAAAATGATAATGAATACAAACTGACAAATTCCATAGTTTACTTAATGTTCAATTTATTTAATATTAGAGTTATTATAATTTTGTGAAACCTCATATTTTTTATCTACTTGTATCAGAATCGACATCAGTGAATGAAGTAAACGCACAGATATGAATTCTAATGAGTTTTACCCAGATTGAAAATTTCGTTGCATTTTCTCCATTTTCATCAACCTAAATTTATCAAATTTTTAAGCTATTAAATGATCATCTTCAATTAATAATACTCTGATAAATATCTATTGTTACTAAAAGTGACTTCAATTTAATCTTTGCACGTACATGAACAGTACTGTAATAAATATCTATTATTACTAAAAGTGACTTCAATTTAATCTTTGCACATTGAACGTATATGAACTATGATGATTTAATTAATATAGAGTAAGAGGATCGTATGGAGGCGATCAGTGCCCGCAAGGTGCATTAATATTTATTGCTTTACGCCTTTTCCGGTACACCGGATGTCCCCCGGCCGGAGGCGAATATTTATGGTTTTACTTTTGCAGCTGCGATGGCTGCCGGCCGGGTAGATTGCTTTTTGATTTGCGCTTAATCGGAAAAAGTTATGGGCCCTCGAGAGATAGGCGAGCTGCTGGTGCAGCAGCAGCAGCACCAGCCACCGCGCTTCTCGTCGTTCCCCCCGTTTGAGGGGCGTATACACAACTAACGCGGCGGGCCGCATATTAAACCATAAATTCATGGCGCCGCGTTCAGCCCGCTCGCCAAGTTATCGTGCAGAGAAGCGTACGTGGCGCATTACTTCAACGCTGCACGCTTTTTATAACGCCGTCGATTCGATCCTTCGTTCTCCGCTTCTTCATTCGCTCGTTTCCACTCGCTCTTTCTCATTATTCGCATATGGATTAATTATCCCGTGGTCAATTACTGCAAAATTATTGGATTGTCCGGAAAGTTCGTGCCGACTAACTTATATAATTTAGTAAATGTATACTAAAATTTAAATTTTCTGCGTTTCAATTTTCCTTCAACATCGGCATGAACTTTCCGGATAACCCAATAATTTATAGAAGTTAATAAATTCATTTGGAAACAATAAGATTGGAAATAAGATCATTTATGTTAAATACATTACTTTAAATACGAAGTACCACTACGATCTGAATGTTAAGATGTTGAACTATTATATATAATCATATAAATGAATTAATTTCAGAAATGATAATTGCCGATGATGCGTGCCGATGGTTGTCGAACTTTCAACGCCATCAATCTGAAATATCAATAATAATAATAGTAATAATAATAATAATAGTAACTATAATAGTTAAAAACTGTAATAATTCATTACAGTTTTTTAAGATTAAATTTAGGAAATTTGAGGGGATTATTAATATTTCAGATTGATGATGATGAAAGTCCGACAGCCATATCGGCATGTAATTATCATTTCTGAAATTAATTCATATGAATATTTATAATAGTTCAACATCTTAACATTCAGACCGTAGTGGCATTTCGTATTTAAAATAATCATTTGGAAACGTTTGAGATAGAATATAATATTCATAGAAGCGAGGAAAATGAATACTCGGACATCGGAACATTAGACGGAAATCGAATATTTCCCTACTGTGAAATATAAATTATAAAGATTTTAATAGAAGAAATGTCAAAAATATATTATCAGGAAGTTGATTCCGGAGTTTCAAATCACGAGGGACAACAGGAATTTTTAACCTTTTGCAGGAAATAATAAGTATTGTAATTTTTTTTAAAGAAAAATTTTCCTCATAAAAATCACTTATAATCAATGTAAGTGAAGTTTCAAATGCCAGAACATGATAATATGATCCGAGAATAATCCTCGCGAATCGATTCTTATGAAAGCGGTTTACTTTTGTTAGAAGAACTTTCCGTTTGTCTAAAGGAGAACGGCGAGGAATCGATGTAATTTCATCTTTCAATGCTCGGCAGAGCGAGAGTTTTATCGAAGATGACTCGGCTCGTGAGCGAAATCACCGATCGGGTCGTCGATCGTTACATTGCGAACGGTCAGCTATTCCCAATCACTTGTGAGCTTTATTGGACGACGACCTGAATTATAAACGAAGATCGAATCCCTCCGGTGCTGCGACTTCGATGCCGCCACTAGGAGGTTCCTGACCTTCCCGCACTCGTTCGCACGGCAATCGCAAACGGGCCAGCCTTAAGAAATGTCGATCAATCGAAATCAAAAGTGACAACCTAGCTCGCACGTTGGGTCAGGGCAGGCATAAAATGGGACGAAAGTCTGGGAATGGATTTTAGAATTTGAATTTGATTTAATTAAGTAATTCTGAATACGATAGATAAAAATATTTTTGTTTCATATCTATAATAGATATCCATAGTAGATATAGAATGTTTTGTTATGCAAATGTAATCGTGTTTCACACACATTACGGTATCGTTAATTAAAATTAACATATAATTCTATAGATTTTTCTTGTGCATTTTTAGTTTCACTAATGCAATTATTCTTCCAAATGTTATTTTGCGAAAAAAAAAATTGCAAGTTACTTATAATTCACAAAGACAAAACTTGCTTTTAATCTATTAGAAAATAAAATTATTCAAGAATTAAAGTTCTTAATAATTTACTATCTCGAATTTTGATAATTTATTTATCTCAATTATAATTTTTAAAAAACTCATTTTAATTTAATTTCTACAAGTAATTTTTTTATGTATTTACTCTTTCTAAATTATTAGAAATGAAAATTATTAATTTAATTAATAATTTTCATTTCTAATAATTTAATTATTATTTAATTAAGTATTAATTACGAACTTCAATAAATAATTACCTTATTCCATTCGAGATTATCAGGACAAGTCATAATAATTTTAGTCGTCTTTGGAAAAATAGACTTCCATTATTTTATATATACAACGCACAGAAATTTTAGTATAGAATTATTATTCTTTCACTATTATGCTCACCTTTAACGGAATCCTCTTGACCTTGTCCACTCGACCTTGTAACCTGCGAGGACACTTTGGCCTGGTCGTTGGAGAGTACGAGAGTTTTGCCATCACTAGAGTTTTGACTTTTTAATTCAACGCAATTTTCCGGGCTGGGTGATCGGTCCCTCGATATAGGCGGTGGCGAGGGGGTGCATCCGAGCAGTTTGCGAACCGATAGCTTTAGCTCGGGTGTCTTCAGGGGTGGCAAGTTCTCCGCGGTGTCTCGGATGTCCTTGATCTTGGCCGTGACGGAAAGATCCTCCGGTTGCAATCGACCTTCTGGCGACGGCGGTTCTTCAACGCTTCCGCTCGTCTCGATGACGCTAGTTGTAGTCTCTTGCGCCGCTTCATCTAAACAAGGTTTCTCTTGTATTCATCTGTCGCGCGGGACCATCCTAATCGCGAAGTATTAAGAACGATAAAGACGGCGATTAGGTCGATTCGTAAATAAATTACAATTTTAGCAGCAACAAGCATTCACAGACTTCTGAAATGTAATTTCTGTCATCATAACAATGTCTGAATTAATAAAAACAAAAATAAATTCTATATTAAAAAATGGATGTAAACGATTTGGTACTTCCAACATCCACAATTAATTTTTCTTTAATCCACATTAACACAAATTATATAGAATAGTTCAAATAATCATGCAGACTGCTGTTAATTCAAGGAATACACCAGAATACAATTTAACATAACTCTCACTATAAATTTCTTCTTAATGAATTCCAAATCGATATAAACCTTGCTTGATCACTAACAATCTGCAACACAAGCACATACGAATCGACCTGATTCGCATAGCAAATTTCATTCGACTCAGCACATTTTTTGATGCTCAGCATCATGATTCATATTGAGATCTATTATTGAGATCCCATAGAAAAGTATGCGCGCACTGCATCGATCAATTTTGATCGCGCAATTTTGATTAGTTTTCGATCAACTCAACACCTAAAGACTTAGTACATATAATATCACGGTGCATCAGAAAAGATGATAACACATACGGTGGTCAGCATCGTCCGCGACGTGATCACCGATGAGATGCGCGACACTGAGCGTAATCCTGCCGCCGGCGGCCGCTCTACAGCCGACGGCAGCCTCGACGCTCGTCGCAGCCGCCACCGCGGCCGCCGCGTTGTCGAAGCTCTTGGAGACGAACTGGGCGAGCTGCTCCATCCTCACGGTTATCAGGGCAACTCTCGCGCGCGACGTTGCGCCTC